TGTAGACGACAGCTCTTGCTCAAGATGAGTGTCTTCTTTTTGAAGCTGGGCGAGTTTCATAAGGTCGATTCCTTGGAAAATTTTCAAGAAAGTTATTCGAGACAAGGCGTCTGCAACTACATTGTTTGCTCCAGAATTGTTAACCCATTGTTGTATGGCTCCTCCGATTGCTGATTTGGATGCGTCTACTGCGATACAAATGGGTGCTTTGTTGTCTTGATGAGCAAGTATTGTTGCTTTAGCGATAATTTCTTTAACTGTGGAGAACGCTTTTTGCGCGGTGTCGTCCAAGTTGATGAATTTCGCATTTCCAGGAAGTTGGTTGGTAAGAAGTCTCATGAGTAACACGCATTTCGGTATGAAACTTCTATAGAAGCTCACGAGGCCGTCAAACGTTCGTAATTGCTTGATCGTGATCAGTTCTGGGTAATCCACGCCTTGGGCATCCATAGATTGTCCTAGGAAGTCTAATGGGTTAGTTCCGATTTGACATTTCTGAATGTTTAAAATAATGGCATGCTTTTGTATTCGGTGGAAAACAAGATCCAGATGCTGGAGATGCGATTCTCTGTCTAGGCATGTTATTAGACAGTCGTCAATATGCGCATGTAGGAAGCTGTGAACTCGAAAATCATCGTCTATGAACCTTTGGAAGGTTTGTGCAGCGTTTCTTAGGCCGAAAGGCACTCGTAAAAATTTGTAGAGTCCGAAGGGAGTTATGATAGCTGTTTTCGGAATATCGTCAGTGGCCATGTAAATTTAATTATAGGATTTAACCAAGTCCATTTTCGAAAGGACAGCTGTACCTTTCAAGGTAGCTGTCAAATCGTGAATGCGGAGCAACGGGTAACAATCGGGAATGGTTTTCGCATTAAATCGCCGGCAGTCACCAGTTGGACGCTAATCGTCGCTGTCGTTTTTAGGGACCATGCGCAACGGAGATGCCCACAGGTTGTTTGACGGTCTTATGATAACTAAATCTAGAAAATGTAAGTGCATGTCGAAATACACTCGTATGTGCGTAAAACAAAGGAAAATAAACTCATGAACACGTAATAGCGTTAAAAAATTGTTTATTGTTTGTTTTTTTTAAAAATAGAAATAAAAATATATAAGCATATTTAAAAAATTTTTTTTAAATAATATAAAAAATGTCGAGAAGTGCCTTACGTGCAATAGTCGTTTAAATGTCCTGGAAATCTCACTCTTCTTCCAGAACGCGTCGTTTTAAGTTTATTTTCGGATACTGTCGAAGTATCATCGTGTGTGTTGGTTGTCGGGTGAGGTATTATAAGTGTCGGAGTCGTGTCGTTCGATCGTACCGAAGGTAAATCCACGTAGATAGGATTTCCTTCTTAATACGCTGCTTTGAGGCGATCGATGCTGATGCTATCGTTGGTTCCGTTCTTATCGATTATATAGTACTTTGGTTCGCGTTGAAGAACTTTGAAAGGTCCTTCGTATGCTGATTCGAAAGGTCGTCGATGCGAGTCTCGACGAACGGAAACGTGTGTACTATATCGTAAGTCATGTTGAACGAAAACATCAGTTGATTGAGGTCGAGTGGAAGCAGGTTTAACTGAACGCATTGCGTTTGTAAGCCTGTTCGTGTAGGAGGTTAGATCCATGCTCATTGAAGAGGATGAAGGATCCATGAATTCTCCTGGAAGTCGAAGTGTCGTTCCATAAACGAGTTGAGCCGCAGTGTATCCAATGTCAGCTTTCACTGCATTGCGGATACCTAGTAAGACGAGTGGAAGAGCGTCGGTTCACTGAGAAACGTTTGCAGCTGATAGTGAAGCTTTTAGTTGTCGGTGAAAGCGTTCTACCAACCCGTTTGCTTGTGAGTGGTAGGCGGTCGTTCGGAAGCGAGTGCTTCCTAATAGTGTGGTCAAACGACGGAAAAGTTCAGATTCGACCTGACGTCCGCGGTCTGTAGTGATGGTTGAAGGGCAGTCAACATTTGCTACCCATCGTTCGACGAAGGTGCAGGCCACTGTTTCAGCAGTGATGTCCTTGATATGTACTATTATTATTATTATTATTATTCACAAACATCTTATGGGTACATAAGTGTTGTGAAGAAACCATTTAGGGTTTCTTCAGAAAATGCAATAATACACAATTTTCAATAATTTTAGCATTATACTTGCCATATTTAAAAAATAAAAAAATAAATTAGAATAATAATAGTAGAATATTAATAATAATAAATCGGGTCTGTGTAATTGAGAAGAATATTGAATTGAGTTTAAAGAAGGAAATGGAGAAAATAAGGGAATAGAAATAAAGGAGACGTGAAACAAGCAAACAGTCTAATAGGCGTGTTTATGAACAGATAAGAAGAAAAAACGACCATGTGTGTATCGTTGAATTAGTAACAAAAAATAATTTATCGTTGTAGTAAGATATGACAATAGAATAAATGTTTGTGCGGTTATAGTTCAGAGTGATGCTATGAAAGTCACAATTAAGTGAAAAGGATAATAAAATATCACTCTGTATGAGTCATATATGCATAGTGAAGATAAAACTAATCTGAGAAGTTAATTAAAGTGTAACACAAGTTATTGTCTTAATTAGAAACTTCATAATCTTAAGAATAAGATTTATTTAGAAGGGAAGAAGAGCGAGAAAAGAAGTGAACACCTAGTGAAAAGGTTCATCCATGATAAGAATAATAATTGTGTAATGGATATCAACCTCAGAAGGAAACCAGCAATTGAAAAAAATAAATAAATAAATGAATAAAAATCCTTTAAAGCACTCGGATGAATACATTTAGATTTATGTAATAGTATACAGAATGAAACCGGATATTAGTATAAATATTTGTGCAATAATAATTAAGATTGATGATATGAAAGTCAAAATGATTTCAAAGGACAATCTGGAGTTAAATATGTTTAGAAGGATAAGAAGAGATAAAGAGAATATCTAATGTGTTGGGGAATTAATAATGATATTAATAACGGTAATAATGATAAACACGAACATAAGCAGACTTCATATATTAAGATAAAGAGAAATAATAAAAAATAGACGTGAAAAGACTTAAAGTTTTTATTTTGCTTTTCAAGCAATTAAATAGATGACGGACCTTGTTTGTATAAATCATTATTGAATACATTGATATTCAATAGGTGACATAATCCACTTTCGGAAAGAAAATCGTCAAGGAGACTTTTGAACCGGGTTGTAGTTTCACTGCAACGGAGGTTCACTGGCAGTCTGTTCCACATGGTTGAGTAGCGAATAAGGAAAAAATTCTGACGTAAGTTTGTGTGGGTTCTTGGAATCGCTAGAATGTTCTCCTTATTGCGTAGATTGTGGGATGATATTATAAGGTATGAAGGGGTGGATACCGATGAGTAGGAAATACCGTTAATGAGCCGGTAGATAAAGACAAGATTTAATTTGATACGTCTGATCCAAAGAGGTTCTAAGTTGAGTTGTTGACATCTTTGGTAATAGTCTTTGTTATCGGAATACCCCAGAACAGCTTTGGTGAACTTTCTTTGAACACCTTCAATTCTAATCAGATCATTATGTCTACAATTACTGTAAACTAAAATACCATATTCAAGAATGGGTAAGATACATTTTCTGTACAGTAACAATCTCGATTCGATATTATTGAAGTTTATCATTATCAATCCGATGAGCTTTCTAGCTTTGGATACTTGAGATATAATGTGTTCAGAAAAGTTCAGACTGTTGCTATATCTTAAACCCAGGTCACGAACAGTGTTGAGAGGTTTGAGTGTATGTGTCTGTACAGTCAGATTTAAGTTAAGACAGCGACCAATGTGAATAAATCCACTTTTGTCAACATTAAGTGACATATTCCACGAAATAGTCCATTCGTACAACTTGTTTATTTCCTCCTGAATTACCGCTGAAATATAGCTTTCTTTCACGGGAGAAGAGAATGAATAAACTACTTTCAGGTCATCAGCAAAAAGGAAAGGCTTGCCATACTGAAAGAGGGAACATACATCATTGATAAAAAGGAGAAAGAGTAGTGGACCAACCACACTTCCTTGTATAACCCCACTGGTTACATTTACAGGTTTAGAGTAGCAAGATCCAAAGCGAACGATTTGGCTACGTTCTTCTAAAAAAGATTTGAGCCAAGATAAAAGGGGATTCTGAATGCCAAATGAAGAGAGTTTTAAAAGAAGAAGTTTGTGTGAGACACTGTCGAAAGCCTTACTAAAATCGAAGTAAAGAATTATCACTGACTGACCAACATCTCTTCTCTGGGTAATTTGATCAAAAAACTCCAGGTGCGATGTGAAACATGAGCGTTTAGTCATGAACCCATGTTGTGAAGGGCTGATCAGACTAGCTGAAAGTAAAAATGATAGTAGCTGTTTGTGGATGACTTTTTCCATGGTTCTTGAGAGCACGGATGTCAAATTAATTGGCCTATAGTTAATAATATCACTACGTGGTCCTGTTTTGAATCTAGGGGTGATAAGGGATGTTTTCCATACAGATGGATAGGTCCCATATTCCATAGATAGATTGAAGAGTTTCAAACAAAATAGTGGAAATTCTCTACTTCCATATTTCACAAATGATGTAGGTATCCCGTCAGGTCCACCATCATAAGACTTTTTCAAGGAAGTTATGGCCTGCTTGATGGCGGAGGGTGTGAAATCAATTTTTGACAGATGTCTGGATGTTAGCATTGGAAATGTAATGCTGGAGCTTTCAGTTCCAGTTTTGTAGCACTGCGAGAAGTGCTTGCTGAATTGTTCGCATATAGTATTCGGGTCGTTAACAATGCTTCCGTTAACTATGAAGAATTTGGTCGTGCCAAGGGAATTTGATTTTACACGGGATTTAAAAAGTCGAAGTATTGATAATTCTGGGCTTTTACTACGTAGAGCTTTATTTTCTATATTCATGAAATACTTACGTTTAGATGAAGCATTTCTGTTGATTAATTTAAGTATACTCTGAAGTGCATACACATCATTCTGCTCATAGTAGCGGTATTTTAATTTCCTCAGCTTTCTTTTAAAAGTATTTTGGCCCCTATTAGCATTATAAGCCACACGGTCAATAACTGGAGCAGTGCAGTCAAGACAATATATCAGGTTGTGATATAGATTGGAAAGCGCGATGTCAACATTATTTGTGGTAAAATAAGTTTCCCATGGTAAACATTGAATGAGAGTTTCAGTCCGTTTCCATGTTTGTTGATCAAAATATCTGCTCTGGTACGTCATTGAAGCTTTAGAATTCGATTGTATGGCGTTTAAAGAGTGAATAATACTCAATACAACTCTATGGTCACTCATAAAAAACTCATGACTGGTATGCACTGAGATAGAGTCTATGTTGATTGTGAACATTAAATCAAGTGTATTATTCCCCCTGGTTGGTTTTCGGACCTGTTGAACCCATCCACAAATTTCTAATGTTTCAACTAGCTTGTTATATCGACCTGGTACCGGAGTCAAGCCCCATGTAATTTTTGGCAGATTAAAATCACCTCCGACGATTTTAAAGGTATGCGGTTGATGCGAAGCAATGGAAAATATGTTTGTTAGTAATCTGTCAAACTTAGTATCCGCATGAGGTGGTCTATATATGCATCCCACCAGTAAATAATTTTGGGATCCACAGTTTACAGTAACCCAAGTGGAGTCTTCTATAGCATCAAAGGATTTATCCTCAAATTTGCACGCTTGAATGTCTGAACGGACATAGATAATCGTACCGCCTCCTATTCCATAACATCTATCGGTTCTAAAGAAAACGTAGTTATCGACATTCAAGGAATGATCGGATATAGATGAATTACACCACGTTTCCGTAATAAGTACAATGGTTGGATTTACAAGGAATAAAAGAGTTTTAAGATGAATGATTTTATTAGACAGAGAGCGGGCATTGAAAGAAAGAATAAGAAACTCAGAGTCATCATAGTGAAGCAGGTTAGAGTATAAATCGCAATTGGTAGTTCCATTAATACTCATAGGATTAGCTAAGGTAAGAGTTGTGTTGCGAGGGGAAATAGATTCAACCACTTTGTCATCATGTGAAATATGTTTACCGTTGCCGGCAGGAAAGCCGGCGGAATTACAAAAAAAGTTTTCTCACTGCTATTGGATATAACATCTGATAAGGGCATAGTGTACATATTGGGAGCCGGACCGAGAAGACTATCAGGTCTATGGTTTTGACCAAGTGGCCAATTACAATTCAGATAACTATTTATACCTGACGTATGGGTAACGTGTTTAAGATGTTTATTTCCAAGGTTTGTGATTGATTTCGGCTTCTTCATATGTTGGAGAGGATTATGTACTGTTAAACATACTTGCGATGGTTTGGGAGGTTCGAATATATCAACGTTAAGTTCGTGGTCAGTTATATGAATGTTATGATTAGTTTTCCTGTTATCCGTTGCACAGTTACTGTAACTGGGTGTTGCACTAACAGGGGTTTGGACTGTGTTATCCCATTCTTCATCAGCACAACTACTTCGGGTTGAATCTAAATCAACATTCTTAAGAGGATGGACACCACCTACATCGGGATTACTTTTTTCTCGGTTTTGAACTTTAGGAGATTCAGAAGAGTTTTTCGGTGGCGGCAAAATTGTTAAGCTAGACGTTTTCTTAGAATCGGACTTAACTTTACGATCATTAGGATTATGATGCGTTTGAGAGTTTGACGCTGGTGGTCTGTAGTTATCTCTTCCTGCTTTTCGCTGGCATGGTGTTTTATCCGGAAGAGTCTTAATATCCTTGAAAATCTGTTTTTGTCTCAATGAATTGGAGGAATTTAAAAATTCACTGGCGTCTACAGATGAGTTGAATTTGAACAAGATCGGTGAGTGCATACCAGGATGACTTCGTTTTAATCTTGTGCATACACATGGTACGTGTGTCATATTGCTGGCTCTAAGCAGACTAGATTTGATCTTTTTAAGGGCATGTGTATCCGGTATATTAAACACAATTGCATTACTAGATCGTCTTATTCTTTCAAATACCTCTGATGCAACACGATCTAGGAAAATATTTATGTCATTCATTTGATCTGGAATCTCTGTGAGGTTGGGGTTGATGAGATATTTAAGCGGATTGAGAATGTTCATGTCTACTTGCAACTTTTTTATAGCATCCATATGGTTGCAGTTGCGATTATCATCACTGTTTACCATCAGAGTTTTCAACATGTCTGGAATGGAGACAACTGGTAAACGCTTGTCTGCTTCCGGATGAACGGAGTGGCTCGTCTCGTTGAAACTGTTGGAAGTCGTGTCAGTAGTGGTGTTAAATTGTGTCGTTTTCCTACGTTTGGCTGAACGCCTAGAAGCAGGGGTCTTCATTTTATTTTGTGGCATAATAAGAAAGTGACGTATAGCAAGTGGATTGAACAGAATGTTGGAAATAGGGGTGAAAAAATCAATTCCGAGGGCTCAAGTTAGTCTAAAAATCAAAATCTATGTTTTAACCAAGAGTCAATGTATCGTGAGGATTAGTGATGTTAAAAACAGATGACAATGGCAGGAAGATAGTAGTGGAGATGAAGTATTTGTCAGTATCTGTGTGGAGGCAAAATAGAATATAAAGGAGCAAGTTGTGTAAATTTTAACACATATGACATGAAAGATAGCCTTATATAGTAAAGTAATTTAGAAATGTCGATAATTAATATCAAACAATCAAAAAAAAAAAGTACGGTACGTGGTACATATATAAACTGAAAGTCCGTATTAGTAAAAATTGGGAGGTGCAGAGACAAGTAGTTTAGAAGATTATTACCGTCTAAGATTATTATGTTGCTTCTTGAACAAATATATGGAACAGCTTTTTGGAAAAAAAAATACTGCCAAAAAAAACTATGACAGACTCACCGAATTGGACAGATAGCTTCGGAAATTAAATGATTTATAGTATCCAAATACGATTTAAATGACAGTTCATAAAATAGTGAATACAGTCTTTTAACATACACGGTTATATATATTTCTTGATATTAGGTAGAGGTTTGAATAGATCCGAATTGGACAGGTAGCTTCGGAAATTAAATGATTTATAGTATCCAAATACGATATAAATGATAGTTCATAGAATAGTGAATACAGTCCTTTAACATACACGGTTATATATATTTCTTGATATTAGGTAGAGGTTTGAATAGATCCTGTAGATACATAAAGTACGTGGGTTAAAGCATTCAAATACGATATAAACATATATTCCTTAAGGAATAGAATACAGATATGAAATGCAAATCTTCGTCAAATATGCTTATATATGGTTTCAAAGTGACAGAGTATAGTTTGATCGTATAGTCAAAATGAATATATGTAATTATATAAATATGAATTATTCTATGAATATGATCATAAATACCGTAAGTTAAACTCAGAACTTATCATATGGCATGGAATTCACAGTTTATATGTTAATAGTTGAGAATTGAGTTAACTTCCATTATTCCAAGGAAAAATAACTCATCCAGCTCTGCGAGAATCCTAGAAAAACAAAACTAAAAACCTCGACGTGAAAGTAACGTCCAGTCCGTAGCGCGCGGGGAGATTCGAAAGGTCGTCGATGCGAGTCTCGACGAACGGAAACGTGTGTACTATATCGTAAGTCATGTTGAACAAAAACATCAGTTGATTGAGGTCGAGTGGAAGCAGGTTTAACTGAACGCATTGCGTTTGTAAGCCTGTTCGTGTAGGAGGTTAGATCCATGCTCATTGAAGAGGATGAAGGATCCATGAATTCTCCTGGAAGTCGAAGTGTCGTTCCATAAACGAGTTGAGCCGCAGTGTATCCAATGTCAGCTTTCACTGCATTGCGGATACCTAGTAAGACGAGTGGAAGAGCGTCGGTCCACTGTGAAACGTTTGCAGCTGATAGTGAAGCTTTTAGTTGTCGGTGAAAGCGTTCTACCAACCCGTTTGCTTGTGAGTGGTAGGCGGTCGTTCGGAAGCGAGTGCTTCCTAATAGTGTGGTCAAACGACGGAAAAGTTCAGATTCGACCTGACGTCCGCGGTCTGTAGTGATGGTTGAAGGGCAGTCAACATTTGCTACCCATCGTTCGACGAAGGTGCAGGCCACTGTTTCAGCAGTGATGTCCTTGATATGTACTGCTTCTGGCCATCGAGTGAAATGGCCCACTTAGGTTCAGAGATAAGAGTATCCATTTGAATCTGGTAAAGGTCCTACCAAATCCAGATGAACATGTTCGAAACGAGCATCGGGAGTTTTGTAAGAATCTAAGGGACATTTGTTGTGTCTAATCACCCTAGGTTTCTGGCAACTTACACAAGAACGTGCCCACTCCCTCAAGTCTTTATTCATGCCAGGCCAGCAAAACCGTTCTGCTATAAGCTTGATAGTTGCATGAACACCTAGACGATAAAGTCTGTGCAACGTATTAAAGACGTTGCATCGATGTTCCAGCACGATTGGGCGATCCCTACCTGTAAATGTGTCACAAAGTAAGGTTTCCTTACCTGTTCCCATCTGTTTGATGCGTAGGTTGGGGGTTGTAGACGACAGCTCTTGCTCAAGATGAGTGTCTTCTTTTTGAAGCTGGGCGAGTTTCATAAGGTCGATTCCTTGGAAAATTTTCAAGAAAGTTATTCGAGACAAGGCGTCTGCAACTACATTGTTTGCTCCAGAATTGTTAACCCATTGTTGTACGGCTCCTCCGATTGCTGATTTGGATGCGTCTACTGCGATACAAATGGGTGCTTTGTTGTCTTGATGAGCAAGTATTGTTGCTTTAGCGATAATTTCTTTAACTGTGGAGAACGCTTTTTGCGCGGTGTCGTCCAAGTTGATGAATTTCGCATTTCCAGGAAGTTGGTTGGTAAGAAGTCTCATGAGTAACACGCATTTCGGTATGAAACTTCTATAGAAGCTCACGAGGCCGTCAAACGTTCGTAATTGCTTGATCGTGATCAGTTCTGGGTAATCCACGCCTTGGGCATCCATAGATTGTCCTAGGAAGTCTAATGGGTTAGTTCCGATTTGACATTTCTGAATGTTTAAAATAATGGCATGCTTTTGTATTCGGTGGAAAACAAGATCCAGATGCTGGAGATGCGATTCTCTGTCTAGGCATGTTATTAGACAGTCGTCAATATGCGCATGTAGGAAGCTGTGAACTCGAAAATCATCGTCTATGAACCTTTGGAAGGTTTGTGCAGCGTTTCTTAGGCCGAAAGGCACTCGTAAAAATTTGTAGAGTCCGAAGGGAGTTATGATAGCTGTTTTCGGAATATCGTCAGTGGCCATGTAAATTTAATTATAGGATTTAACCAAGTCCATTTTCGAAAGGACAGCTGTACCTTTCAAGGTAGCTGTCAAATCGTGAATGCGGAGCAACGGGTAACAATCGGGAATGGTTTTCGCATTAAATCGCCGGCAGTCACCAGTTGGACGCTAATCGTCGCTGTCGTTTTTAGGGACCATGCGCAACGGAGATGCCCACAGGTTGTTTGACGGTCTTATGATAACTAAATCTAGAAAATGTAAGTGCATGTCGAAATACACTCGTATGTGCGTAAAACAAAGGAAAATAAACTCATGAACACGTAATAGCGTTAAAAAATTGTTTATTGTTTGTTTTTTTTAAAAATAGAAATAAAAATATATAAGCATATTTAAAAAATTTTTTTTAAATAATATAAAAAATGTCGAGAAGTGCCTTACGTGCAATAGTCGTTTAAATGTCCTGGAAATCTCACTCTTCTTCCAGAACGCGTCGTTTTAAGTTTATTTTCGGATACTGTCGAAGTATCATCGTGTGTGTTGGTTGTCGGGTGAGGTATTATAAGTGTCGGAGTCGTGTCGTTCGATCGTACCGAAGGTAAATCCACGTAGATAGGATTTCCTTCTTAATACGCTGCTTTGAGGCGATCGATGCTGATGCTATCGTTGGTTCCGTTCTTATCGATTATATAGTACTTTGGTTCGCGTTGAAGAACTTTGAAAGGTCCTTCGTATGCTGATTCGAAAGGTCGTCGATGCGAGTCTCGACGAACGGAAACGTGTGTACTATATCGTAAGTCATGTTGAACGAAAACATCAGTTGATTGAGGTCGAGTGGAAGCAGGTTTAACTGAACGCATTGCGTTTGTAAGCCTGTTCGTGTAGGAGGTTAGATCCATGCTCATTGAAGAGGATGAAGGATCCATGAATTCTCCTGGAAGTCGAAGTGTCGTTCCATAAACGAGTTGAGCCGCAGTGTATCCAATGTCAGCTTTCACTGCATTGCGGATACCTAGTAAGACGAGTGGAAGAGCGTCGGTTCACTGAGAAACGTTTGCAGCTGATAGTGAAGCTTTTAGTTGTCGGTGAAAGCGTTCTACCAACCCGTTTGCTTGTGAGTGGTAGGCGGTCGTTCGGAAGCGAGTGCTTCCTAATAGTGTGGTCAAACGACGGAAAAGTTCAGATTCGACCTGACGTCCGCGGTCTGTAGTGATGGTTGAAGGGCAGTCAACATTTGCTACCCATCGTTCGACGAAGGTGCAGGCCACTGTTTCAGCAGTGATGTCCTTGATATGTACTGCTTCTGGCCATCGAGTGAAATGGCCCACTTAGGTTCAGAGATAAGAGTATCCATTTGAATCTGGTAAAGGTCCTACCAAATCCAGATGAACATGTTCGAAACGAGCATCGGGAGTTTTGTAAGAATCTAAGGGACATTTGTTGTGTCTAATCACCCTAGGTTTCTGGCAACTTACACAAGAACGTGCCCACTCCCTCAAGTCTTTATTCATGCCAGGCCAGCAAAACCGTTCTGCTATAAGCTTGATGGTTGCACGAACACCTAGACGATAAAGTCTGTGCAACGTATTAAAGACGTTGCATCGATGTTTCAGCACGATTGGGCGATCCCTACCTGTAAATGTGTCACAAAGTAAGGTTTCCTTACCTGTTCCCATCTGTTTGATGCGTAGGTTGGGGGTTGTAGACGACAGCTCTTGCTCAAGATGAGTGTCTTCTTTTTGAAGCTGGGCGAGTTTCATAAGGTCGATTCCTTGGAAAATTTTCAAGAAAGTTATTCGAGACAAGGCGTCTGCAACTACATTGTTTGCTCCAGAAATATGTTGTATATCTGAAGTAAACTGCGAAATGTAGTCCAGTTGTCGAGACTCACGGGGAGAGTACTTGTCAGAAGAAAAGCTTAACGAGACAGTGAGCGGTTTATGGACCGTGAAAAGAGTGAATTCACGGCCTTCGAAATAGTGTTGGAAATGCCGTACAGCACAATACATAGCTAGGAGTTTCCTACCGAATGTGTTGTACCTCGATTCGGTGTCTAGCAACCGCCTAGAGAAAAATGCCAAGGGTTGCCAGGAGTTGTTAACCCATTGTTGTAAGACTCCTCCGATTGTCGAGTCGGATGCGTCTACTGCGATACTAATGGGTGCT